CTTATTATACAGTAAATTATCATCATTAAATATACATTTATCTTCTTACATTTATTGAGTGTACAAATTTGCTTATAGCTCTAATTTACTTATTTTATGTTTTATATCTTGAGCTGTAAATAAACAGAGTAGAGCTAAAACTCGTATAAACAAAGGTTTATAAAGTTGTATGAATGTATTATTTAACATGCATCTTTTCACTGTTATGAACAATCATTAGAAATTTTCTAACTAGAAAAACTTATAAAAATAGTGTACGAACATAAATATAAATTTTTTGCTTTATATAATATACATAATATTTTATACTCAATATTTTGCGAAATAACACCAATGGCACCAATAACACTACGGATTACGGATGGCGGAATAATACCGATAACACAGCGGGTGTTACTCAGTCTTATTCCGCAGTATTATTAGTGTTATCCTTGTTATTCTGTGGTGTTACACTGTTGAATAATACCAATAATACCTCAGACTGAGGAATAACACTGATAACATAGCGAGTGTTACTCAGGTGCTATTTCGCGGTGTAATTGGTGTTGAACACCGTGAAATTTTGAGTATATTTTATTTTTATTTTTTATTAATTTATTTATTTCTTTTCGAGTCAGTTCGAACTGAACACGAGCGAACAAATATTTATTCATGTTGAGCTCGTTTATATTTCAAGCTTAAAAATTTATTCGTGTTCAGCTCGTTAAGCTTAACGAATGAGCCGAATACGAGCTTCTTAACGAGCCGAGCACGAGCTGTTCGCGAACAACGAACCATTTTGACAGCCTTATTTATGGACAACATCTGATCTATGATGTTAAAGAGGGATAGATCATTGAATAAAATCATAACATCAAACATCTTCAACTCCGCTGCTCTAAAACTAATTAGTTTGTATGGGGATTCCAATCAAAATTATTTTGATTAGCATACGACTCGTAGGAATGGAGCTCATGTTGTGAATATGAATGGGTCTGATTTAATAGAAGGCTGCGACAGTATTTCGTTTTTACAAGACTAGCGCTGTTCTTCAAATTGACAACATTTTCTTGTAAATTTTTAACATGGGCTAAGTTAATTTTAGGAATTTTCAAGGGACCTAAACTCCTATATGAAATTTCGTACTAAATTTTATATCATTGTGACCTCTACAAGTGAGATTCATGTGCTGTTAATAGTTTTGAATTTCTCTCGTGAAATAAATATTTTATTTTAAAAATGGCGAAGTTTCTCCACCTTAAATTTGATTCTTATTCCGTTGTCAAAATTATTATGTTTGATTTGTGAGTTGTCAATGGCGTTGGATTGTTCTTGGGAGGATGAACAGAAAAATACCAAGATTGCGCCAAATCTTCATTGTTTCCTGGTGATGGTAAAATACAGTTTTCGCTTCAAGTTTTATTTTGTATGATCCGAACTTGATATTTCAATGTTTAACTCCATTGTGCTATTCTCACCATGAGTTTGAGATTATATTTCTCGTTTGTTGATCATAGACTTCGCCAACAGTAGTCTTCATTGAATTTTGCTTCTATGTCTAGCCTTATAGTGGCCCTAGTGAATCATTTTTGTTAGCCTAAAGACGGGATTTTCTAGCTATCTTTCTCAATCAGTTGAGGGATTGATCTGATTTGTTTTCTTATAAGAATAAAGAATATTTCAGTATAATTCTGAATAAAAGTCTTATTGCCTCAATTAAAATATGCAAGTTTAGGATTGGGGGTTATGTTTTGAACAGAAAGCCCTAGTATGGTTTCAATGGAGGGAGGCTAGATTCTCGATTCGCTTGTGAGAAGCATTTAAGGATTGCTTGTTGGAACGTTTCTTAGCCATTTGGGAAGAAGACCTGCACGAGCAATTTTGTGCATTCACTCAATAAGGGATTGTTATGGGGTATAGTGATAGATTCAAACTCTTGTCGGGACGGCTTAGGGGAATTTTTTAAGCAATATTTGAGGGGAACTTCACAAAGGGTCTAAAACCCAACATACGTGCAACACTTCAGTCGTTGAGACCTTTAGATTTAGGAGAAACTATGGAATCAACGCAATTTGTTGAAGATTATAATGCAATAGAACTGGCTAATAAGAACAACACAGGTGGAGCACTATACCAAACTATCACTATCATGACGATACCAAAAGTTCTAATAGTTGAAGTTCAGCGGGAAGCTTCATGGGACAAGAACCATGGGTCGCAATTGGGAATGACACTCGTCACATATACGGATACAGGATAAGCAAGTCAAGGGATTATGTTTTCGGTGTGATGAGAAGTTTTTTCTAGTACACCGTTGCAGCGATCAAACATTACAGTTTCTCGCAGTATGTGATGAGGCTGAGGACGAAGAAACAGAGACAACTATTGTGGAGGAACAAATTCACTTTTTTCCACCTTGAGAATAATGTGCCTTTTGGGAGGGGGGTTATTGTTACGTTGGCGCCTAACCTAAGGGCAATTTAGTCTTTTGTGTGCCTATGGGCGATTTAATCTTTTGTCATTTGTTATTGTTTTGTATAAATAGGGCTAATATGCTTAGGGTTAGGGTTATGCTTGTGATTGGGTCTTGAGTCTTTATATTAGGGTTTGGGAAAGATTCCTACCTCTCGAATTGTAGGTGTTTATCTCTATATATTCGTGTTGTATTGCTTTGATTTGGTGTTTTTGAAATAAAATATGTTTGGCCTAATTTCTCTGTGAAATCTATTCCGAATCTTAGCACATGATTCACATTATTGCCCGGCTTCAACATGACGACACCCTCCATTTCTTGCCTACATCATCGGCTTTCAATGCCGTCTAATAACACCTCTACAAGTCGAGATTTTTTCCATTGTATTCTCTTGCGTTCTCCAGTGAAATGAAATGGGTGAACCTTTGAAATTTTAAAGTAGACTAGTATATCTGTTTCAATCTGCTAGACCGAAGGCTTTTCTTTATTCAAATTTTTAATGTAAAAAATTTGTCGTTTTCTTTGTGTGCATGTTTCTCCTTTTATATGTTTATGTGAAACTTCGTGCCTGGCTTGTGAGACCTACACACTGGCTTGTGAGTTGCGTTTAGTCCCAATTTGTCTTACTGGCTTGCGAGCAAACTCATTATGAAGTTGTAAAGAACTGTGATAGCTTGATTGCAATGTTTAAAAAAGAACTAAGAGTTCTATATTCTCTTTCTCACTCTCTTAACTCCTCATCCTTTCTCCATCTATACATTTGAGATCATCACTGAATTTCTCTAGAACAGGAGTAAAAACTTCAAAAAGGTTGGTGTGGGAGCTCAAGTAAGTGACAACGGCGAGTATCTTATTGTTTCCTATCGAAGACTAAATGCCATTGGAGAAACCCTCTTTGGTGGCAGTTGTACACAATTTTTGTGGGACAATTGTTTTTTGGAATTAGTTTCATCTAAATAATCAATCATTAATCAATTCATTAACATTCATAATTAATTTTAATCACTAATTTGAACTTCAACAAAGTAATTAATCGTTAATTAGTTAATTATCAAGCTTATCATAATTAAATTTTGATTCGAGTAAGTAATATATTATTTTACCATTTATTAGTTCTCAATTAAATCAATATAAATTAAACTAAATTAAAAAAAATTGAAAATAACCTCAATTCAATAATATATTTATATTAATTTACCATTTATTAGTATTCAATTAAATCAATATAAATTAAATTAAATTAAAAAAAATTGAAAATAACCTCAATTCAATAATATATTTATAATGATTCTTTAGTAAATTATAAAATTTTTAATCTTTTCCTTCAAAAAATGTGCTGCCTTGTTATATCTTCCTCACAAACATCTTACAGCTTATAAAATTCAGATTTCTCCTCAACCCACAAATCCCATCATTTTCTTCCTCCACAAACACCCTACTGTGAACGTAGATATTTCTTCCTCCTGGTGAAATCTCAAGTACAGCAACACAGAACTTCAAAAAAAAATGCTGAAACTGTTGTGGTGCCACCGAATCCAAGTAGAAAAAAAAAAAGAGAAGAAAGATGGTGAGGTAATGATGAATAGAAGATAGACGGAAAGTTGAAAGATTCAATACCAAATTTATGATAAGCTCAGAGTTGAGAAAAAAGAACAAGAACTTAGAAGTGCAGCCGCATTTGAAAGAAGAAATTTATAAAACTTTCTTAAGCGCGTGCAATCCTTTTCAAATTCAGAACTAAGAGAATATTACGATCTCCAAATTTGTAGGTGAAGCAAGAAGTGAGACGTCACAATGGACGCTTGTAGGCTAAGTAAACCTAGGCATTCTTTTCCTTAACTTTCCCTTTATGCAGTTCTTTCTGCTAAATCTCCTAAACTCTCAAGTTTGATAAATCCATGATTAATCACAAAAACAGAGCTGAAACGGGATATGTAACTCCCAAGTATTTAGCTAGTCCATAAATACCATTTGATAAGATAATAAGTCCAGTTTGCATCCGCTAACAAACAGCTCCTTAATCCTGCTTCATCATAGAAGGCGGACAAGTCCCTTAACAAAAGTGACTTAATATAAATTACTTTTTTCTTGCAAATGATCAGTTCTAACACTAGTTAGGAAGTAATGCAAAGCTCTAATACCACTTGTGAGGAAGCAAACCAAAGGGTCATAAAGTTTGGCGACACACCAGCAGTCTATTCTTCAACCCAACTTATGTTTATGGGTGAGGTCAACCCTTCATAAGTTAAAATTTTCAGTTTTTTCATACCTCTTAATTCATATGTATTTACATATCTAACACCTAAAATTTGCTTTTTACGTTTGTTCTGCCAAAATATTTCATATCTAATAAAAATACCACCATTTTAACTTTAAAAAAAAAATGTAAATTTCTATTTTTTTAAAATATTTTTAAAACTTACATGTTTTCTACGTGTGTTTTCTTCTATTCATTCATTTTGTTTCAGGTGAAATTTTGTTCATAATTAACGTGTTTTTTGTCCCCCCTCTTTTGCATATTCGTGGACTGACTGCATTTCATCTCCAGAATCTCTCCCAGCTCGCATCCATCAATTACGATTTGCTGAGCAAAGGCTTGAAGGATGGACAATCAAGACCTGATTCTTAATCTCGCTCCCTTTCAGGTTCCCATTTTATACGAGCGGAACACTGAAAGATGTACAGGTTCTACAATCCATCTTCCTATGAATATATTTACTTTTTCTTCTATTTATTTGATTTCTTATTTTTCTTATTATGCTGAAATAGGATCTGAAACCTACGAATTTGGAGATAAGCCGCTTCGCTTGCTTATGGAGAAAATCTTTTTCGCAGAAATCGTCGGCTTAGGTTTGGTTTTGCCTCCCAATCCACCATGAGTGATGGTTTTTTTCTGTTTTTTTTTTTTTTTTTTTTTTTTTTTTTAGTGTTTTTCTGGGTATTTTGGAGGAATGGAGCAATGTGTTCGTAAGAATGTGGATGAATTATATTTATCAATGAGGCCCCTTTTATCTAATCGTCTTCTTCCATCTTGTTTTCTGTTTTTCAAGCAATAGGGGGCATTTATATACATACCACACAATTCTTATGTATTCATATTACTTTAATGAAATCGCACATCGCTCAAATCCTTAATATCATATTAAAAATATCACTTTTATTTATTTCTTAAAAGTGAAATATACATTTTTATGCATAGATGTATTATGACAGTGTTATAAACGTAAATATAAAAATTTAGATGTTTGATATGTGAATACCTAAGTATTTTGTGGTATGTGTGTAAATTTCCATATGTATTAATGCTTCTCTTACCATCACAAAATATGCGGTTTTGTTTTATAAAATCATTTTTTTTTTTTGCTGGAATTTTGGAAATATTTGTCGAATTTGAGAACAATGTTGATATTTATAGTTATATCTAATCAAACGATAAACTTAATAAAATCTCTCTTGTTTCAAGAATGAGTTGATTGCTTGGAAATAGTTGGAACTCATCGGTACTGAATGAAATAAGTTCAGTTCTTTTCCTTGATTGTTTGTTACACACCGGTAGGGCTGTCAAAAAAGTTCGTTGTTCGCGACTCGTGTGCGGCTCCTTTGTTAAGTAAACGAGCCGAACACGAATAATTTTTTAAAACTCGAATTATAAGCGAGCCGAACACGAAAAGCTCCTTGTTCGCTCGTGTTCAGCTCGTTTTAGCTTGAAATAAAAAAATTATATAAATATTTATATAATAATATATTACGTATATTATTTATATAATAATATGTTATATATATTTATGTCTAAGTTTAAATCATAACATCTCATGTGACAATATGGTTAATGTATTTTTTTGTATATGTTTGATCCAGGTTTGAATCTCACATTTTACATCTATTTTCTTCAATTTAAGTTTAATGAGCCAATTTTGAGCTGAACACGAATATGAATATTTTAATCGAGCCGAACAGGAACACATTGTTCAAGAGCCGATTTTGAACACGAGCCGATTTCGAACACGAACTATTTTGAACGAGCCGAACACGAGTCAAGCCTAAGCTGCTCAAGCTCGGCTCGTTTATAGCCCTACACACTGGAGGTGCGATGTATGTTTAAAATGATTTCATTAGATGTTGGAATTTTGGAAGTGCAGGATTGATTTTTCTTTCAGGTGTAATAATGCTTGTCCAGTATAAATTTAAATTAATTAATATGCTGGTTGAAATTTTGATGAAATTTGACTTAATTTAAATGGCAGCAGGTCAAATTGAATGGTATGTTTATATTTCAGCCTTGTTTATTTATTTATTTATTTAGTCTATTAAGTTATTTTGGTATGTCATTCTAAAATCCTAGCTAAGTTTTAAGAGGTAAAGCATAAGTATTTTTAAGCCAAATAATTTGGCTTATTGTATTGATGATGATTGTTCAGATTTTTCGCTATCAATGCCCTCAAAATTGTATGTGAGAAAAACAATAAATAATTGGGGCATTTACATACATGCCATCATTAAGTTTTTACATAACAAACCTCTAAAATTTATTTTTTTATATTTATACCAATCAAGTATTTTATGTCACCTGATACTATTTTAACTTTAAAAAAGTAATATTTTGTTTATGGATTGGTCGATATATATAAATATATTTAAATTTGGGTTTTGATGTATAAATACATACGAATTTAGTGATGTCTAAATTTCTTATACAGTTTAATATTTATTTAACTTCTCATTTCATAATTGAATCTTGCTATCGGTTTATTATATTTAGAGAATATTATGTCCAGACTTTAGTAGTATCATGGTACATGCTAGCTTAGCTGAACTCACTTCACATTATTTAATTAGAAAAAAAAGAAAAATTATAATACCCTATAAATTTTGTAGCCATTTTTGAATCACACCAAGTATAACTATATATATATATATATATATACTTAATTTACAGTACACCCCTAAAACATCAAACCAAACAGCCCCTTACTGATGAAACATCTCTATTTTGATTTTCAGCTTCAGTTAAATCACAGGCACATAAACTAAAATAAATAATGAATCATAACAACAAATAATCAATCATCAGCAATTCGATATTGAATCATCATTTTAAGAAAGAAGTGAGATTGAACATAACAAAAAGCCTCAGATTTTTCACAAAAAAGAAAAAAACAAATAAAAATATCAAACATAGAAAATTGTTAATCCTCAGTTAGAAATCGTGGCTGCTTCTGCTGCAATGGCGGAACCTTTTTTCTTAGCAAAATACTCTTCAGCCCGAGCGAGGTTCTTTACTACCGATGGTTTCAGCCACTTCTTCCGGCCAGGTAACACTGTGAGGCTGCAGCCAGCAGATACGAGCTTCTCTCTTGCTGCTGTTGAGAAAGATCGAGCCTTTATCTTCAGCTTGACAGACAAATCGCCATCGGCAAGAATCTATCAGAAAAACCCACAAAATTTACATTTTTATCAGCAAAGATCTTTCTTTATATCTAACTTTTAAAATTTGTTCTTTATGACACTTTAGTGGCATAATCGCTTCAAAACTTATGTATGAAAAGGTATATTTGGCTTTAGGGGGCATTTTACATATTAGCCACGCAATTCATATGTAATTTTGTATCTGAAAACCAAATTTTAATGTTTATAAGCATAGTACTCGAGTTTTTAATATCACATCAAAACATCACTATTATCTACTTCTTAAATGTGAAATGTATCTTTTAAAGCATAGGTTCATCACGCCAAGGTGTTACAAATATAAATATAGAAGTTTGGGTGTTAGGTATATAAATACATAAGAATTGTGTGATATGTATGTAAATTACCCTTCACTTTAAAGATTTGTATCAAATTTTAGGTGTTAGATATATAAATAAATGAGAATTTAGTTGTATGTATGTATATCCCCACTTTTTTTATATATGAGTGGTAAGAATTATGTTTTATTTGATCTCTAGGTAGAGGATATGCAGGCAGCGGAAAGGAAAATTCAAATGATTGCATTTGAATTCAATCTATGTGAGATGCAACCTTTTGTATTTCAATATTTAGAAAAAAAAAAAAAAAGAGGTATATTTTATAAAGGGGCATTTACATACATATCAACCAATTCCTTTGTATTTACATATCTAACACCTAAACTTTAGTTTTTTACATTCATATCACCCAAATCTTTCATGTCATATCAAAAATATTACTATTTTAGCTTCTAAAGGGTGAAATACACCAATTTATGCATAGGTAAGGTGGCATATATGTAATATTTGAAGTTGTGTTATATATGTAAACACAGGAATCAAGTGGTATGTATGTAAATCTTCCTTGGATCAATTAGCAGCCATTCAAAAAACCTTTATGAAAGCCTTGCATGTGATCTCTATTTTGATCTAATTAAATAGAACAAACATGGACAAAGAATCCTTTTGTCTTCTATATAAAGGGCTCCCATTGCTAACTATAGGAGCATTATAGATTCCATGGTAGCATGATGAAAGGCCATTTTAACAAAAAACATACTTCATGCAAAATAACAATAATATGCAAGTCTTTCTTGCTAAACAAAATGAGAACAATCCACCAGTTAGTACAATGTTATTTAGAATGATTTACACTTGAAAACATTATAATCCTAGCCAAGGAAGCCATAATAGAGTAAATGAAGAATGAAAAATAATGAAGAAAAAGCTCTAGAAATGATGAAACCAGATAGAGAGTAGGTTTTGATGATTCACAAAGATTTTGAACACGGTGAGCCCGTGAAAATGCATGAACATTGATATTTAGTCCCACCATCAACTATTTTGATGAGCAGTATATTAATACATGTGAGGCTATGGGTTTAATCCTGCATCATATAGTTGAAAAATATGCTAGTGTGAAAATAGGAAGAGATTGACCCTCACTCATAAGCTCAAGCTTTTGGGCTAAAAAATGGTGGCAACTGGTATCAAAGTCGATCGTTCAGTCGGGATCAAGTGGTTTACACATTTGTGGCTCCCAAGAATCTTAATAGGTTTTCATATAAGATAAGAAAATTGACATCTGCCATGCAAAAGCATTAGTATATGACATCTGCCATGCAAAAGCATCAGCCACCATCTTCACAAACTTTTCCTATGGAACAATTTTTTCAGGCGCTAACAATCTGATCTACACTACAATAACAGAAAGATACATTTGCAGCTTGATTTTTATGTTGAACTAAGTTTTTAGATGCACTTGCCGTGGAAAATTTTAAGTTTTCTCATGAAAAGGTTGAGATTAACTTCAACTGGAAACAGGTCTATAGGTGTTTGTTAAAATGAGTTTGCATGGAGTTGCATGTATTTACAACTTTACAATGAACACTTCCATTACTTCAACCCTTCATTATCTAAATAATAACAGAAAGATACATTTGCAGCGTAGATAGCCAACTTACTCATGTTTAGGAATATAAATACAGAAAATGTCCTTTTCAACCTAGGAAAATATAGCCACACTAGTTTTAGAGGTAAATTACTCAAAGTTTAGAAAATAAAAACCTGTTGAATTTGGAAATATCTTATTAACAAAGAAGCAAATGCATGAAATACTATTTTAAGTTAATGAAGAAGCAAATAATAATAGGGAAATGTATATACATACCACACAATTCTTTTATATACATGTCTAACATCAAAACTTTCATATTTACATTTATAACAATTTGGTGTGATGAATGTGTGTATTTAACTTCTAAAAGTAGGCAATAGTGGTTTTTTTTTTTATGTGATGTTAAGGATTCGAGTGCTATGCATGTAAATATTGAAGTTTAGGTGTTAGAAACGTAAATATATAAGAATTGTGTGGTACGCATGTAAATGGTCCATAATTATATAGTGAATTAATAGAAATATCCTCTCAATAATTGAAAGAACTATCATCTAGTCGTATGCTGATTGCAAGTAATGGAACACGAAGTGTGCTATCTGAAACCATTTTCAAATAAACAAAACAAAAAACACAATAGGAGAGGAAATAATATCAGAAACCTTCAAAGGTAGACTCCTTTCTCTGCCAGAGGGGTTGATGACACCTTTCTTTTTTAATGATTCCAGTGATACTTCATCATCCTCCTTGAAACCAGCTGCTTCAATGTCTTTCAAGTTAACAGGAACAAATTTTGGTAATCCAGCACGCATGCCTAGAAAAAAAAAAGGTTGTAAGATAAGGACATCACAGAGAGCCAAGTAAGAAAAATTTTCATATTATATTAACAGTTTCAAAATAATATCCCAAACATCTGGAAAAAAAATAGAACCCCAAGAATTGTTTGAGTACCAATAGTTTCCTAAGTGAACAAAGTTAGTGCATATCACTGATCAACTTCCTAACTGATTAATGTTTACAAACGAAAATCCCTTATGTTCTACAGGCTGGATCTAGTAAGGCAAGCATATCAAACGATAGACATAATGGGGGTCTTTGGTGTTTGGTAGCATGCTCATTATCGGATTTAGCCATGGATTTAACTTAAATCCAGCCAAACACCGAAAAAATGAAAAATAAATCAAACACTCCGTTAAATCAAATTTCATTGCGTTCGGTCGTTTTCTTCTTGGGTTCCATCACATGTTTGACGTAAAATTCTGATTTAGTAAATCAGATTGCAAGGTGGATTTATCTTGTCGTCACACGAGCTCCTCCCGTCGTTTGTGTAATCTAGATTTATTGGATTACATAAATCGTATTAAACGTAAATCTGATATGCAGCCAAACACCACTTTAGATTCCTGGATCAAGCCAATTTATGATTTATATGGGAAAATATCAGCCTCATGCACATTATATCGGGACAATAGGTTTGTCTGATAAAACTGCAAAACAAAAAAAATTGTTCCTTTCTAAGCAAACTTGACAGGACAGTTGGGGACGTGAGTATGTAACACCATCCCGTCCGTGCTCAAATAGAATGCAGGATTCCGCATTTTCCCTTGATCGCGGAATCAAATCGCAACCAATCGGCGGGAAGTTCCACGTAATCAAGAACCGGGACAAGATTTTGTCCAGATAAGCTTGAAGCGGGCTTTCCCGTTCAAGTTTTCTGCAGCCAGCCTTTTTTATTTTATTTTTATTATTTAAAGTCTAGTTAGGGCTAAATGAAAATATGACACTAAATAGGACGCAATAGAGAAAAAGGATTCATGTAGCCGACCCCACGTAGTGGTATTAAAGCTTTGTTGTTGTTGTTGTTGTTGTATTTAAAGTTTAGTTAGGCTTATTTTCATTGGGGGTGTTGTGTTTTCTGTCTTCGAGACTTACCTTGGAATTTATGTATTATGAAAATTGTAATATCTGGTTTTGTTCCAAAGAGTGTTGTATCATTTTCCTTTTGCAAGTGGTGTGCTCAAGAACCGGTAGTTAACCTCCTCGCTTCCCGTACCGCTCTAGTTCACCGGCCACCTCACTGTTTTTAGCAGGGACAATCGTCAAATAGCTCAACTCTGGTGTCAGCCAGTAGATTAAGCCGCTTATCCCCTTCAAAATATCGTCGAGCGCCCCTATCCTCCTTTCGAACCATCCCGTAACTACATTCCAGTAAAACTCGCTTCCTAAACATCAAGGAATACACTAGAACGGTATCAAAAGTCAATACCTCTTTTAAGAGAAGATCAGAGCATCACTATAAAAACTATGGGTTTTGATCACCTTTAAATTGTTTTATCAAATATACCTCTTTCAAGGGAACACCAGAGCCTTCCCATATAAATTATATGGTTTTCAATTGCCTCCAAATCCAGCTCATCTATGAAGGATAACTTCGCACTATTGGTAAAGATACACTAAAACTTGCAAGGGGGAGCTACAATCTTCTTAATCAGTGTGTAAGCAATTTTAAAGAGAAGAAACTGAAACCTAAAAGGAGAGAAGGAAAACGTGTAAGATTTTCTCTCTCATGGAATGTATTTATAAATAAAAAAGAAGCATAGCAATCAGTGATTTAAGAAATCACATTATCAGTCTCAAATGCCATATAAAATTTCTTCGGATTGTAATCCCCTATGCATATAAGAACCAATTGGGGGTGCTTTTGTTATTAAAATATCAAATAAAAGATAATCACTCATAAATAATGTTAAAATTACAATCAAATTCATCAATGCAAGATAAGTGGGTGCTCTTCATTGATAAGCATTGGAGCCTAAAATTAATATATGCATCCCATATCCAGAACAATATAAGGTCTCTATATAAAATAAAACTAAAGTGTATGAATGGAAAATTACATGACACCTATATAAAATAATTGAGAATCTCTTGTTGGCCCTTAAAATAAAATAAAAGGAAGCGAAATAATTAATTAAATTTAAATTTTCTAACTACTCCCAAATGCGGAATTCACCTAATAACTGCTCTTGTTGCTTCTTCCCTATTACAAACTAATTCAAAGCCCCTTGCCTTTGGCAGAATTATATCCGGAGACTAATTGCATAAAGACAGGTGGTTGGACCCCACTAATAAAAAAAGGCAAAATATGAACCCGAAACAGTGACCCGGGCCCAAATAATTATTACGACAAAAGTTTATTATTTACCGCACGCGTTACAAGGAAAAATTTTCAAATTTTACATAATCTAGGGTTAAAGAAATAGTAGATGGATGAAAAAACTGCAAAATTCTGAAGAGCAAGAAGATAAAACATGTTCTGAAGGTAGAAAGCGTGAAGGGAGTGTGCCGATGGATTAACAACAGAATGTCGATGATATTTTACATTTTCACGCTTCAGTAATTTTCTAATATAATGCATAAATATTATTGGGAGTGTTCAAAATTTTTATTATATTTCCTAATATAAAATAGAATGACTTTTTTTATGGCGTTATAAATTATATCTATGCAATAAATTTTTAATTTTATGATGATTTATGACAATATATTGAGAGTTGCCTTCTTAATCCTGAAGAAAAAATCTGTATTTACCTGTATAATAAGTGAAATCATATAAATTGATAGAATGTTAATTTGGATGATTATGATTGTTTTGAGGGTGTCATAACTTTTGACACAAGTTATTGTTTAATAAATATAATTTAGTGTAAGCACTTTTTATTAGAGGTAATCATCACTACCAAAATATTTTATTCGGAGTAGCTTTCATATAAGATTTTATGATGATTTATGACAATATATTGAGAGTTGCCTTCTTAATCCTGAAGAAAAAACCTGTATTTACCTGTATAATAAGTGAAATCATATAAATTGATAGAATGTTAATTTGGATGATTATGATTGTTTTGAGGGTGTCATAATTTTTGACACAAGTTATTGTTTAATAAATATAATTTAGTGTAAGCACTTTTTATTAGAGTTAATCATCACTACCAAAATATTTTATTCGGAGTAGCTTTCATATAAGATAAGAAAATTGATTCTCTCAAATCGTTATTTAGAGTATTCATTCATATAATAAATGGCAAATATCATTTAATAATATTCACTGATCAAGATCAAGAAATCACAAGAGTTATAAGAGATAAATTGCCCTGATCTCGTAATAAATTATGTCAGCTGCATATATCTAAAATACTTCTTTCAAATGTACATTGTTTTAATAGTAATAAGACGGTTCAAAATCTATTTTATACATGATTGAGTACATGTGATTTAGAACAGTTTGAGCAAGAATGAATTGCAATGTCGGAAAAAATAAATATTCATGATTTTGAATGGCTAGTTAAATTATATAAAATCAGAAATTAAATGGTTAATGACATTCAATAAAAATTAACTTTAGATTATAATCTATTGACACAATTTAGTGAGTATGTGAATAGTGCATATCATTGTATCACTAAGTCTCTTAGTTCTATTACTGCTTTTTTTTAAATGAAAACAATCATACATTCATAACGACGAAATGAATAGGATGAAAATTTCAAATATAGTTAGTTTGCAATTGTTGAGTTGTTGTTAAGGCAACCCCATGTTGAAACAAGCAGCTGCATTCTATTCAAAAAAAGTTGCAGACATTTTTTTTAGATGAAATTTCTACATGATGTCAGTGGGCTAGTTGTAGAAGTATCTGATAGTAATCCCATAAAATATTATAAAAAAATTTAGAACGCATTCTCTGCTACGAACGAGGCTTTGGATGAAGTTATTTCATTTCTTACTGATGGAAGAGGAGCTTGGAATGTGAAGAATAACGTTAAGGTAAACTTCCCTGCTTCTATGTTAAATGTGGTATCCAAGGCCTGACATTACTTTATATCTGTCAGAATGATACCTACAAATCACCATAGCGAAATTACTAATGATAGAGCTATCCTGAACTTCTGTATCCAACAGATGGGCAGTCTAGATGTTAGCTCTATAATCTATAAGCACATTCGTTCTATTACTCTAGGTCAGACGACTGGTGGATTAGGACACCATGTCCTGATTTTCACATTATGTGAGCAATCAGGAGTTGATTTTAGAATTGCTGTGGAAAGGATTGAGCCTCTTAAACCTATTGGACCAGCAAATATTAAAACCTATGAATCTCATGTTAGATGGAGAACAGGAAGTACGAGAAGGGATATTCCTTCTACTTCTAGTACCCCTACTCTCCAGAACTTATGGAACAGATGATGCTATAACAAAGAGATATCTTGAGGATAGAGAACAGGATTGAAAATTTGGAGGCTAGGAATGCAGATAATGATAATTTAACAAAACAAAAGTTTGAATATGATGTTGCATATGATGATGCTATGGTTAGATACATGAGGGTTGACTACTCAGTATAATTTCCTAGTCACCCTATCTTTATCCCTTATCAACAACATATCAACAACAGAACTTTGATATAACTTTGATATAGAAGAAGAAGAGGATGAGTGAAGATGTCTTCTTAGCAATAGTTCTGATCTTTTATTTAGTTTATAATTTGTTGCACTTTGTTGTTGTTATTGTTTAGTTTGTTGAGTGTGATATTGATTTGTATTGAATGTTGTGTTGTGAACCATAGTCTGTAGAGCAGATTTTGAATTGAAATTTATTTTAGTATTGTTGTTTGTTTTTATTACTTTGTTGTATTTATTTTTAGTTAACACTTTCTCAGCAAATATTTTTTATATATATTATGTGTTATTTAATGTTTTAAATTTTGTAGTTTTTCATATTAGCATCTGCAATATTTCAGAGTTAAGTTTCAAAATC